GCATGACCTATCCTACAGTGCACAGTTTCTACAAGGGAACGTGGACCCTGTGAAAATGGCTCAGGTGACTACAACAAGCGAAGGATTTGCCAACAAGCGCAGTCTATCTAGTAATAGGAGGGTGAGCTAGTCCTGTAGTCAGAGATAGGGATGCAGGAGGAAGTCACTACACAAGTATGGATATGGACATGAGTGCCACCAACACCACTGGCTCCACCAGACTGACCCAGAGCCAGGCAGCAGCCTCAGTCTATCAGTCCCGACTTCTCTCCGCTCCTCAACCTCTGGAGTCTTACAGTGAGAGAATATGGGCATGGAGCACATGACCCAATCCAGCTCTAAGCCAGGTACACAGACGTCAGGGCTTTCAGCCCATGTCCGCCTCCCTGCTCTGGCCTTGAGGCAACATCTCCCACTGTCATCTGCCGGCCTTCTCAGGGTCAGGGTTTATAGTTAAGACAAATTCTGTGTGGCTCCCAAAAATTTATATTCTCTGGTGGTCTGAAGTGTTTAGAAACAGCATCTCTCAGGTATCACCAGGTGACAGCAGTCTGGAGTCCCTTAGATAAACATGTGTTTCAAGGATGGCAATTCCACTGTGCCAGCCACAATGAGTGCACACTGACTTCATCTGGTGTCTCGGTGTTGGCACCCGCTTTCACACTCAACAGCACTGATGGTGCCAAAGGAAGCAGACGAATGAGTGACTGACTGAATAAGCAAGAAATCAGCTGGAAGAACTGATCCAATCCTTTCACTGGAGAACAGGAGGGCCATATTCTAGGACCCAAAAGGGTCTGACCCAGTCCTTTCACTTGGGGGGGAGGGTCGCATCCCAGGACCCAGAAGGGTCTGAAGAAGGACACATGGGACTTTTGCTCTGCCTGCTAACCGGAAGCCTCAGCTTTGCACCAGGAGTATTGATATGATCATCTTTCCCTTGCCCCCAACTCTGCCTCAAGGGGACCAGGATGTGTAATTACTGAGTTTTACAATCACAGAGTCTTGGGATTGGGGGTAGGGGGGGTGGGGGGTAGGGGGAGAAGAACATTCAAGAATAAACCTGGAGCAAGGAGATGTGAACTTAAGTACCAGGTGTGTTATCCTCTGGCAGCTGCACTTTCCTCAGCCATTCCGTGAGGTACACAAGTTCAGACCCCCTCAACCAACTGAGTTGTAATCATCACAGCAGCAGTGTTAGGATGAGAAGCCATCACCAGGAAAGGACTGAAACAGTATTCACAGTCAGGGCTCTGGCACTGCAGGAAGGGCCTTCATGAGGAGAAGCTCTGCCCTGCCCTTGCTTTGAGCACGCTTCCTCACCAGACACCTGCACCATGTTCTGGGACCCGCAGCCTCCAGGACTATAAGAGGTAAACTTCTGTTCCTGGGTATTCTGTTATAGAAATGGTAGAAAAAGTAGGCCAGGACCATGGGATGTAGCAATCCACATAAACACACTCAATCTGCAGGCCTGGTAGAACTAAAGTCAGGAGTCAGGGGAGGCAAGTAAAATGCAGTGCCCTGGGTCCCACTGCCTGCCCCTGGCCTGAGCAAGCTGTCTAACTTCCCAGCACACACAGAGGGCACCCACCACATTTCCTATGACACCTGTGGGTAAGGTAGGGGTATCAGCTACAGACAGGGACTGCTACAGATACACAGGTCAGAAAGCAAAAGGAGACACAGTGGCTGAGCTGCACAGGATAGGGTAGTGCCACCAGCCTAGATTCAAGGGCATGGTCACCACACCTGGGTTTACCAGCAAGATTCTTGGGTGACTGGCTCAACCTCTCTGAGAGTGAGGCAAGCACCAAGCCTGCCTGCCTCTCTGGGCTGATCTCACAATATTACTTGACATCTAAGACCTCAGTAGTTATAAGAGGCTCCATAATTTATCAACCACTGTGAGAGCAAACAGTGCTGTTGAGTCAACTCAGTCATGTTCCTATGACAGGACACAGCTGATCCTGGAGATCACACAACCTGCAAGCAAACAGAATGGCCACTCCTAGAGGGCAGCACTGTAGCCTCGGTCCCCAGTGTTCACACATGAATTAAGAAAACATGGTAACCAGTCAATGCTGTCAGTATGGAGGGATTGGAACAAAACCCCACTGCTTCAGAGGACAGCAGGACCTCCAGGTTGGGCAGGACCAGCCACACACACGAAGCCAACAAGAAAAGAAATTCTAAGGACTGAACTGAGCCAGGGATGGGGACAGACCTCAAGCCTGCACCTCTCTCAGCACACCTGGAGAACCTGCTACACCTCAGAACTGCCTCTGTCAAATGCAAAACATCCCAACTCAAAGCAAAGGACAACAGCTCCACGAGGCCCTCTTATGCAGTCCCAAGTTAATTTCTCCACTTTCCTCATCCCCCCACACCACACCAAGAACATTGGATTCTTCTTAGCAGCACAGTCATCCTCCTATGTTCAACAGAAAGACACCATGGTCCATGGACAACACTTCCCTTATGTAAAATGTTGTAGTGTTTGTATCGAGCCCTTATATAAGCACCTGTATGTTTTAATCCATCTGCAAATCACCCATAGCACAAGTCACAACAGTGCTACATGAAGGACTACCTTGCTACATTGAGAGAATAATGATTAGGAAAAACTGCACACCCAGAACAGACTCAATTTTTAAAAATATTTCCAATCTGTGGTTGGTTGAATTGTGGCTGGTAGACACATGAATGCAGAGGACTGGCTGTACTTTCAGCCTGCTAAAATGCCTTGGGAATATAACATCCAAAAGACGCATGCTACAGTGTCTCTAATGACTACTGATAACAGCAAAAAACAGATACCAATCTGAGTGCCAATAATTGTGAAAACGAGAAGCAAGCTGTGTACATCTATTTAACAACTGCTGATCACTCATTACATTTTTACCAAACATGGAATAACACACAAAACATTCGTGCTATACTGAGAAAAGGCAGCTTGTTACAAGCCTTTAATGACAGCTCACTCACAACTGAGGCTGGGAGAAAGACCACAAGATAATCAGGACTTTTTTCCAGTCCATTTCATGTGCTCTTGACATGGGACACACATCCAGAACTCCATGTGGTTCAGACTCAGAAGCACACAGATCCATTATTCACCAATTAAAACAATTGCACCGTGCTGCTTTTCCCAAGTGTACCATGCACACACTGTATCTTCTTATAGTAACTGATATTAAAAAGTGCAGAAGCATATTCTTTTAGAAAAATAACTTCTAAAACTCCATAGTGTCCTTCAGCTTCTATTTAGTCACAGCTGACATGAGGTTGAAGACGTGGACAATGCATCTCTTCCACTAGGCAATGAACAGATGCAAAGCGTCCCCAGGCTCTTCCAAGTCTTCACTGCCCATCCTCCAGAAAGAATCCCTCATCTCCTCTCTCTTTAGGCTACAGTGGCAGCCACACCCATGCTACACGTGTCCCCACATTCTCCTGCTGTCCTCAAAGGCCTGCCCAGCAGTGCGTGATGGATCTCCACACAGCCCCTTGTCCCCGGGACTTGCTGGCACCACCACACAGGCCACCTATCCCCAAAGGCACCCAGAGCCCCCTGACAGGCCCAGGCAGTAAGGCCACTGCAGTCCCAAGAACCAGCAGCACTGGGTCAGTCCAATGCCCCCACACCACTTTCTCTTCTGAAAGGATGATCTATCAACTGAGTAACACCACCACACACAAGCACTTCAAAACACACTCAGAAAATGTGTAGTTGAAAAACTATGCATGCATTTAGAACATTTTTTTACACTTAAATTTTTTTTTAATTTATTGACATCTTTGGGAAGGAAAGAGAGTTTCTATCCACCAGTCCACTCTCCAGCCTGGGTCTCATGAGGTGGCAGAGCACAGCATGTGAGCCGTTGTAACGCTTGCCAGGGTGTGCACTGGCGAGAGGCTGGACCCAGAGCCAAGCTGAGACCAGACTAGGGAGCCAGGTGCCCCAAGCAGTGTCCTGACGGCTGCCATTGAAAGCACGCTCCTGCCAATTTTCCTCATTTGCTACTTATGCTACTAGGTCAGCCCAGTATTAATTTCCCAGGAATGATTTATCAAATGTTTTAATGCGGTTCAATTTTAGATACCAGTCTACAAGTCATAAAAAAATATTTCTTCAGGATCTGAGCAACAATTAAGTTTGGAAAAGTCAGAGAAGCAGTGGGGTCCAGGATTCCACACAGCAGAGCCCTCAAAGTCTTCCCTTAGGACAGTGAGGGACACCCCTCAGAGGTGCAGTCAGGGTCTTCCCAGAGGGACACCATTGGTCCTGAACTCTCCTCAGGAACGTGCTCCAAGTTCCCCCTCAGGAACATGTTTGGGGTCCCCTCTCAGGAACGTTATCAGGGTTCCCCCTCAGGAACATGGTCGAGGTCCCCCACTCAGAGACGTGGTCATGGTCTCCCCTCAAGGATGTGGTCATGGTACCCCCTTAGGAACAGGGTCAGGGTCCCCTCTCAGGGATGTGGTCAAAGTCCCCCTCAGGAACGTGGTCGAAGTCCCCCACTTAGAGACGAGGTCATGGTCTCCCCTCAGGGATGTGGTTGAGGTGCCCCTCCTCAGGAATGTAGTCGGGGTCCCCTTCTCAGGAACGTGGTCGAGGTCCTGCCTCAGAACAGGGTCAGGTCCCCCCTCAGGGATGTGGTCAGGGTCTTCCCTCAAGAACATGGCTGGGGAGTTTCCCCTCAGAAACGTGGTCAAGGTCCTCAATCAGAGACATGGCCAGTGCCTCCCACAGGCGCTATACGTGGTTGCAACTCTGGGAGTACCTGGCATGGGTCCTACTGGGCAGGATCTGCAGCTCCCAGGAGACAGGACTCCAGCAGACGTCACCTCCCAGCGCCAAGCACAGAGAAACAGCTGCGCATGCGCAGAACCAGGCCACGCTCCCAGGCCGCCTGGGGAGGGGTCCACCCAAGCTCCGCCCCCTTCCCGAGTTCCCGCCCACAGCACGTACTGCGCAGGCGCAAGGGAGGACTCACCCGCTGAGGACCACGATGAAATCCATGACATTCCAGCCATTGCGGAGGTAGGAGCCCTTGTGGAAGATGAACCCCAGGGCCACAATCTTGATCCCAGCCTCAAAGCAGAAGATGCCAATGAAGTAGGGCTCGGTCTTCTCCTGTGGGCAGGGGCGGAAGGTGCGTGAGGCAGCCAGACCACCCCAGAGAGCCCCAGAGAGCCAGTTGTGGGTGATTCCGATCCCGGGGTGGGGGGCTGCTGCACTCTGAAGGAGCTGGCTTCTCTTGCTGTCTGTGCCAGTTGGAAGTCTAGGGGTTGGCTTCCACAGACACCAGGTTGGAGCCACCCACCCACATCTGGATTCCAGCCAGTGGTCTATGCTCTGTGTGGGGAGGACCTGCACACAGCCATCAGCAAACTCTGGTCACCAGCTTGAGCTCAGCCTCCTCTGGGCTCCAGACTCCCCGCTGCTTCCTTCCCTCCAATGCCCCTCAGGAAGGAGGCCTTAGGCAGAGCCTGACCTTGCTCTTGGTTTTGCAGTAACTTCTTTCCCCAGAATCCCCAGGGGTTTGCTGCTAAGAGGTCCCTGCCTCAGGCAGGGAGTGAGGCAAGCAGAAGGCACCTACCAGTCTGCGGGACATTGGGGTCTTGTCATCCTCAGGCAAGTGCTGTTCCAGAGCCAAGACGATGCAGTTGGCAATGATGGTGGCCAGGATCATGTACTCAAACGGCGTAAGGGAGGGTCAAGGAGCAGTCAGCATGGCAAGGAAGGGGTTGTCACACATGGTCACCCACCTACACTAGCCCCATCCCACCCTACCACCTGGACCTGGCCCACAGGCAGCAGAGCAAGCAGGTGGCTGGCCAGTTGCCACGCCCACAGTGGCCCTTGGTGACAGACCTGGGAACACCCTGGGGCTGATGAGGAGGGGGAAGAAACAACCTGGTGTGTTCTGTCCTCCAAGCCCTGGGCCCCTGGTGGAGCCTTCCGCAGGGCACTGGGTCCCTGCCAGTGAGCTTCAGTGCAGAGCAGCTGTCCCAGCCAGGGAAGCCGGCTGGATTCTACCTTCCATCTCCACAGGAAGGAGAGGCCTGATGGTGAGTCTAAACACAGAGACAGTATCCAGATCCAGGCTTCGAGGAACACAAAATTCCGGCTCATCTCTGCACACAGGAGGGCTCCCAGTATCTTTCTATAACAGGACCGTGATGGCAATGCTCTGCTGATGCCCAGGAAAGGTTCTACGACAGGCATGGGGGAGACAAGCAAGCAGATGGACACAATGGTGGCCAGGCTTCCAGTAGGCATCCTGTGGGCTGCCAGCCACCAGCCAGCTCTGGCACCAACCCAACAGGCAACCTGTGCTCTGCCCCAGCCTGGGCCAGGCATCCCACATGAGCAGTCCACAAGCAGGGGCAGAGACAGGACCCTTCCTCCATTTCTGCATACAGGCTGCAGAAAGGATGCAAGGCCCAGAACCTCCCCACATGTGTGGAAGCAGCACATGCCATTTACACTCTGCCTAGGCACTGTGATGTGGGCATTCAGGTGTTGAGACAGGAAGCCCCCCAGGAATGCAGGATTTGGGGTGGCACAGGCCCTGAAGAGCTGCTCCCCATCTCCAAGGAGGCTGCAGAAGATGGGGGCTGACCACCTGAGCCAAGGGCACCTCCATCAATGCCAGGACACCCAAACCCACCTGTCACCTTGCAGCCTGGGCCACAGCACCTGCAGCACTCTCACAGCCCCTGCCCAGGGACAGCATTGCCAGGCCTGACTACACACTGCTTGCCTCAGCCCTCCAGGGATTCTCACTGGATCTGAAGGTGTGCAGGACCCCAGAACATCCCTCCTTCAAGTTCACTGTGACTCCAGCTCAGCCCCAGGCACACACCAGATGCAAACCTGCTTCACATCCCCACCTTCCTGAGAGAAGTCACTCAGGGGTCCTGTCACTGGTCGTACAAACAACTTCCATCATGGGCTCTGAATCACAGTCACACCAAGGCCCCAAGTGCACAGGTCTGAGCAACACACACTCCACACACATACATTAATGTATGCAGTATTAACCTGCATATATCCTACATACGCCTATTGTCTACAGTGTGCACACACAATTGTGTACAGTGTCTGACACACACATGTATGCTATGGTATACACCACAGCCCAGTATGGACTACTACACACACAATTGTGTACAGTGTAATGTATTGCAGGGTGGGCCACTCGCAACAGTACACAAACTAACACCCACTATGTACAGTGTGTAAAACTATCATTTGCAGTGTGTATCACACAATTACATGAACTACTTCCCCACCGACACAAAAGGCCCGGCGAACCCTCCAGTACCTAGGAGGGACACAGGGCTGGGAGGCCCTGCCGCAGTGAGACAAGTGCCTCAGGCACATTTTTTCCACCCTAGCTCCCCTTACCTTTCCTGCCCCAGGAGTAGACTCAACTCCACAGCCATAGGAACCCTGCACAAGCTCAGAGCTGCCAGTGACAGGAACCTTTCTCTGTCCTTGCAGAGCCAGGAGGAGCAGGCATTACTCAAGCAGCCACAAAAAGTATTGCTTGCCTCTGGAAATCTTCACCTGCAAACTTGAAGGTAGACCAGCTCTCACGGGCTGGAGCCATGCCCTGGCAGGACCCAAATGTTCGGCAACCCCAGACCTTGCTCCCCACCCACCACACACACAAGTACAAAGAGTGCCCTCACACATACAGGCATACCTCATACACATTTGCATACAGTACCCCCATATATACACCATATGTTGCCCCCATACACAGAGCACACACACACACAGCTCACATACACATGAATTATATATAGTGTTCTACAGAGCACACATACACCTGAACACACACAATTCATGCAGTGATCCCATGCACAGCACACACACCACACACACACACACACACACACACACACACACACACACACACATGAACATACACAATTATATACAGCCACCCCCGCAATATACAGCTGTATTTTCCCAACCAGGTAAGTTCTCTCTAGAGCTCCCCACTACGACTCTGAATCTTAACTAGCCTAGAGTGTCCAGGTGCAAGCCTGAGGTCTGGTAAGCTAAGGCTGGTCACCACAGCCAGACTCTGAGGACAGAAGAAAGGACAGTTCTTGACCCTGGGTGCTGCTGCACCAAGCTCCCTGTGATGGGCAGCTGGTGCTCCTCAAAGCCAGCAGACTCCTATCTGCTGCCAGATGCCATCCTGTGGCTGGAAGAGGCAGCCCTTTGTCCCTTAGGCAGAAACTGAGAAAGTCTGACATGGAAATGCCTGCAGCAGGACAGCCTGTGCCCCTGTGGCTAGACGAGCAGGTCTGGGCCAATACCAGCTGACAGCAGCAGCAGTCCCACTGGGCCCAGCACAGCCCTCGGTATATTCACCTCCCAGGCCCTTTCTGAACTTGCACCAGGAACAGACCTGGACATCTGGATATCTTAGCTCCTCCCTCCTATTGTTTGCAGGTCTTGGATGAACAGAGCTCGCCAAGCCGGGTCAAGGTGCTACCTATCCCCTTCGCCCTACCTGGTGCCCAGCTTCACAACCAGCATGCCCAGAGCATCAGCCATGGTCAAGGAGAGCCCAAGGCAGGGCTCACGATGATCTTGCTTGGCCCCACAACAGACCCTCACAAGCCCTCTGTCTCGACTCTTTGGGCACAGACAACTCGCTGGGAGGACAGTGAGCCACTGGGAGAGGGCAGGGCTTACCTCAGCCCAACAGCATTGTTGGCATGACTGCCACTGTCTCGGTAGAGAAATGTTCAGCTGCCACTGGTTGGAATCAGCAGACCAACCACTGGGGAACACAAGACCCATGAAGACCAAGCCAATGGAAACAAAGGACCCAGGTGAGGGACGGCCAGGGGATGCCCTGAGCTGCACCTCCCCCACCTCTGGCTCCAGGACCTCCCCAAACCCCAGGTTAGCCCTGGCAGAGGACCTGTAGCTCTCCCTTCCTGTCTCTAGCAGCTCAAGACAGTCATTAGGAAAATGGTAAAAATAGGCTCCCTTATTGATTTATCTCCTTTTCCCAGGGCTCCTTCCTTCCTACATCGTCCTGTTTCCTTGGCAACGGGCTCGGTGGTGTGCAGCCTTTGCACCTGACCCCTGTCCCTTTCCTTCTTAAGCACAGGCAAGCAAGAAGGTGGACCTGCACCACTGGCCAGTCTGTTCCCTCTGCTGAGGATTGGGTCTGAAGGACTCAGGCCTGGGAAGAAGGTCCCATACTGCAGATGTAAGGTGCCCTGGGGGACATGTACTCTGTTATTTCCAGAAGCCATCTCTCCCACAGCCTGTCCCAGACCACCTAAGGCAACAGACCAGCTCCAGGAGCAAGGGCCCTGGGACAGACAGCCACAAGGACACTCTGCGTGCTCCTGCTTCAACCCAGTATACTTTTGGGAGTAGCCTGTGAACACCCAGGCCTCCCTGGAAACTCTTAAGGGGCCTAACAGAGCCCACAGTCCCAGCAGGGGCTTACATCTTAACCCTAACCTACGAGCAGAAGTGCATCACACATGCTGCTATCTCCCAAGGCACCCGCTATGTCAGCTCACTCTCCAGGTGGACAGCAATAGGTCACCTCCAAAAGAATTTACAGGGAAATTATAACCGTGGACTCTCAGGACAAAGATGTCTGGTTCAGAGCCTTCCTGGATGCAAATCCAGACCCAGAATCCAGGGGTTCCAGGCCCAGGTGTGTGCCTCCTCATGGTAGCTTAAAGGGAATTAGTCACACCCACAGCCTGGGCCAAGCACAGCGGGGCAGGACTGGGACAGCCAGTGCTGCCTCCTCCAGAGCCAGCACAGCATGGTGAGCTCAAGCTCCTCATTGAAACACATCTGTCCCAGGAGCAGGCATCACTCCCAAGAGGCAGATGGATGCACACATCAAACCCCAACCCCAGCAGATCTCCCAGTACCCTGCCAGAGCAGGCATGTCCTTCAGGACCAGCACCCGCTCAGGATCCCACAGAACAGGAGGGCTGCACTCTGTGCTTCTCCACACTGCAGGTGGCACGGCAGTCCTGGCCCACAGATGCTGAGAGACACTACACCATACAGGACAGGCCCACTGCTGGTGGCCAGGAGACAGGCATATTCTCCATATTACCCTCTTCCTACTAACCTCCCAATCTCCTCTGAAAGAATAAGTCAGACTGAAAAACCAAGCCCCTTTTCTTTTTTTAAAACAAAAGTGCATCACGTGCCTGCCAGCCTTCACATCTGTGTTTTCTTTGGTTTCCATGGTGGCAGATGCAACCTGCCATTGCCATGACAATACTGCCTCTGCCCAGGCACACCCCTGACAGGTGATGTCAAGTGCAGACGCACTCCTCCAGCTTGTCAGAATGGTGGGGCCCTCTAACCTACCCTTGAAGCTTTCACCATGGCAGAGACAGGGAAGTGGGGCTGAACAATCACCAAGGGGCAGAGGAACCCCAGACTGCAGAGAAGAAGACAAGCTCAGCGACTCAATGCCCAGGGTCCCGGAACTACTCTCTTCACATGGGTTGTGAGGCTGCCTCCCAATCCCAAGGCCTTCAGAACACAGTACACCCCTCTTCAAGGCCTCCAGGCAGCTGTGCTCATTTGTGCCGCTTGCTGAACCAATACTGAGGTCAGCTCTGGATGCTCTAAGCCCAACTGCTACGGGACAGGCAGCTGGGTGCTGTCGCTGCATGACTGGACA